GGAGGGGCGGGGGTCCGGGCAGCCCCCGGCCCTGGGCCAGGCGGGCGGGGGCGGGGCGTGCGGAGGGCTCCCCTATACCCCCCACCCTCCAGGCTCGGCCGAGGAGCGACCCCCGGCCCGGCCGGGCCGCGGCGGGGCGGGGGTGACCGCTATTCCCGCCGCCGCCCCCGCGGAGAAGTTGCTCTATTGGCGTCCTGCGTCTGTTTGCAGGGGTGGAGGAGGGTGGGCTGGTGCCAGGCTGCTGCTCCGGGAGGGGGCGGGGGCCCCTGCGCGTCCTCGGAGCGCGCACCACCTCCGCCCCCTTCTTACGCACTAGCGCGCACTCGCCCCGAAAATTGGAACCCTGGAGGTGTCCAGCAACCCCGCAGCCAAGTTTTGTGCATTATTAGATTGCATGTTTGAGCTTTAAAAAAATAAAAGGAATCTGTCCCCTTCAGGGTATTTATTTCCTTCGCTGTTGAGAAGTAACGGAGTCTGTTGCTTCCAAATTTCCAGGGACATGCCTGTCAGATGTGCAGAGGGTTGGCAGCTACTTGGCTTTTAAAAAGACGCTATTAGGAAATCCCCTCACTAGTGAGATAATTGAAATTTGAGTTTGTTTGCAGCTTCAGTTTTATTTGATCCAATTAAAAATGCATAAGCAGACACTTATATTTGTGTACATAAAGTGTTCCTAGTTCCAGTTACGACTGATCTGACTGTGGTTTCGGTAGTGTGTGATCTAATAAGGCAGTATAATTCGATTTTGAACCTGTAGGCCGGTGTTCTCCAAATTAGGGTTTATGGATCATTAGTAATCTGGCCAAGGTTTCTAGTGAATCCTTGGCATCTCCAGGCATCTTTGGGGCTGTGTGTGCGACTTATTCCCCACCCCCTCAACACTGCTCATTTCTGGTGTAACAGATCCATGAACAGAGAAAATACCCATTTAAAAATTTTTATAATTTTCAGACTGTCTGCAGTACTGCCTGAGATTTGGTTACTGTTTCTCAAATGTCATATAGGGACACCATCCCAGTAGGCTCTAGATTTCGACGTACTTTAAGGAAGTATGCTTGTGATCCTTAGAATATAGTCCAGACAGGGACCACTCCGCCGTGTTCCCAAGGCTAATTATGAGCTGTCTTTCTTACTAGAGATGTGTACCCATCTATTGTGCATGGCACAGGAGAGTTTGTTGGTATTCCACGTTGGAAGATCAGGCTGGAACCTCAGGGAGATAGTTTTTGTAGACTTTGTGGTTCTCTGGGGATGGGGAGAAGGTTTGAGATCCATGTATGATAAAATGATTAGGCATGAATCGTCAAGTGCAATGGCTTATGCCAACCAGAACAGGTGGTTTCATACATAAGCAATGCATGACTGTAACGAAAGGCCTGGGAAAACGTGGAGTGGTAAAATGATAAATTTTGGACTTCTTTCTGTCCCAGGGCAGATTTCCTAGATGAATTATTTAAACTTTTTTCTTGATTAATGGACTTTTAAAAGCTAACCCTTGCAATTTTTTTTTTCCTTTTTTGCTAACTTTGGAATCTCCCCTGTAGTAGCCAGACTATGATACTGTTCTTGATGTAGTCTGGCCATGGGGAAGGTAAATCTAGATCTCTTGTGAAATTAGCTGTGTCTCATTGCGGTATCACAGTCTGCCTGGAGTCACATCTTTTATACTGCAATTATTTTTGTTTGTTTGTTTTTTACATTTAGCCCGTCTGTTATAGCACTGCAAAGTCTTTGACTATGATAACTTTTACCACAGCTTTTAATATTCTATAGCTTTCTAATTATTTTTATAATTTATTATTAGTATAGTTGGAAGTTCTCTGAACTCATCAACATATTACTTCATGCAGATCAAAGGAGAAGTTGAATGGCCAGTTGAAAGTGGAGTGGGAAGCCACAAGTAACAGCTGCATTTCTGGAAGATCCTTTGACAGTTAGTTAGTCTTTTGTATTTATTGATTTGCTTTTCTCATAACTATTTCAAATACCAAAGAAAATCTGAAATGGAATCTTACCTCTTTAGAAACCACATCTCATTTTTGATTTTTACCATTGTGTCACAAAAAAAAACCTATCAGAAACAACAGGCAGTTGGGCTACTGTGTCTTGGAAATCTGTGATTTAGAGAAGTTTCAAAGAAGTTTTTCAGTTTTCTTGGGTATATAGCTTTGCTGCAAACACAGTTTGTGGTTATGTCTTCCTGCGTTAAATCATGAGGAAAGAGGGTTCCACAACCTTGGGCATGATTCTCGCTGCGGGTGCCTCTGTTTTTCAGCTTTCACAGGAAGACTTTTTATTGGTAATGACCATATGCTGTCGCACATGGGTTCATGTTCACAACCCTTTTGAACAAGTTTTAGAATTCAAGGATTCTACCTAAATAAAACCTTTGGTATATGACAGTGACATTGTCTAGGACAATGACAGTAACTAAATCAGGTGAGGAGATTATGTTCTCACCCTCTTCCTGTGTCCCCCCAGTATAGCAAGGTTTGAAGTTGTTTTATTTTTAATAAACATTTAGTAGTTCTCTTTATATTTCCATCCCTCATTCAAAGCTTTAGTTTAATTCAGGTGAAAAGCTACAGTGGATTTCATGGGACTGCCTGCATTCTCCTGTACCAGGTTATTATTATATTGAAAACTCCTTGAAATACATAAAATAATAGCTGGGGCTTAGATACCTGTTCCCCAGAGATTATTTTTGTTTGCAATAGAATATGACAAACTTATGAGGGAAGAAAAAAGAACTAGCATTGAATGAATGAATGAATACCTGGCATGTATCCAGCACTTAGCCAGGCCCTACGACTACAGAGATGAGAAAAAATACCCCTGTTTTCTTAGCCACTCCATGAACTTCATGGACTCAAAGAAATGAAATAACCTGTTCAAGGCCATAAAGCTAGTACATGTTAGAGTCAGAATTTGAGCCCACATCATCTGGATCCAAAGCACATACTCTTTTCATTAACAACACTCTCTAAAGATTTCTTAAAAAGCTGGAGTGTGCTGTCATATTTTTGTGGTATGGTGCTAGGTAAACTAGCATGCTTTGCCTAAGTTCTATACACCAGTTGATTTTTATTTTTCTGTTTCAAGAATTCGTCCCTGAAGAGGCAGATGGAATACAGTGAGGGCATCCTTTCCCCGCTTGTCTCCATAGTGTAGAAGAGGTCTCACTAGGGCACTTAGGAGTTCAGGGTTAGCCCAGTACAGTAAGAACCATGAAGTGCAGAGGGAGAATGCGGTCAGTTTTTCATTGCCAGAATGTTCTCTTTAGTTCATTTTGTGGAGGCTTTGATACCCTCATGAGAAATTCTGTTACTTCCATAAATGTCCTGAAGGTTGTAAACTGGAGTTATTTTAAAATATCCATCCCCTTTCCCACTTCTGAACCAAGTTATTTTCATAAAATCTAGATAAAAATGTTTATTTTTGTTTGTGGTACCTGTATTAGTTGGATTTTCTAGTCTGTAACAGTGATTTTTTTACATCCTCCCACTTTTATTCTTTATGTCATTTGTCATTATTGAGACTTCTAGAGTCTTTGATGAGGTATATGACATAAATAGCTCTTTATTTTGAGGAATTTTTAAAAACTGATGAACCTTTTTTCTTTATAGTCATAATGAAGGGCTTAAAATTTTTAGCAAAGAAAAATCTGATTTTTCCATAGACTTCCATGGTGCTTTTATCCAATAGCTATTTCTTAACATACTAAGTGTTTGAAAATTTCAGGAAAACTGAAAAGTAGAATTTTAAGATAACTTCAGGACACGAATCCAAACATTTACAAAGTGATGGATGCATGTTTGAATTTTTAAAAGAGTAAAGCGAGATTTCTCTTTTTCTACCTTTCTGCTCCTTTATTAAAGATTTTTGTAGTAAGTTTTCACTGATCTAAATTTGATGGATCAAATATATTATCAGTAAAGTTTTAATGTATTTTGTATTTTCTTGTTCACTGTGTAGCCAAGGCATTTTATTTTTGGAATATCTACTTTTTTAAAAAAATTCTGAGATTGTCTTTTACGTAAAAGGTCAGGCTTCAGGTTAAATGAAGGTCTAGCTATTGTAACACTGACCTTTGGTTCCTGCCTGTTTAGGTTGACGCTTTTTATCTTGGGATTGATGGACACCAAGGGAGTCTTTAGTTCGTTTGTAAACTCCCCAAAATAGTAAGCAAAATTTTGTGCCTTTTTATGGGAAGCAAATCCATTGCATTTTATGATTCTTAAGGGAATCTGTGACTGCCCATCTCCAGTTCCCTCCCTTCATCTCTTCCCACCCACATGCAAAAATAATATTCAGGATTATTGATTTAGGTCATTACAAAACAGTTGTTTTGTTTGAGCAAAATCTTTTGCCTAGAGCCTGACTTCTTTGGGCTTTTTTTTTTTTTCCCTTTAGCGGCTCCTGCCATCTTAGTCTAAATCAGTTGGCCAGGGCCTGGGCAAGAACTTCTGCATCCCTCAGGGCAGCATCCGGCAAGGATTACCCCCAGAATTCTTCCCTGCCTTATTGTTACACTTGGGAAGCTGTTCCATTCCTTTGCCCATGGAGCAGGTGACAAGAGGGCAGTTGTAAGACAGTCTTAGATGGTCCTGAGCGTCTTGGTCTCAGCCATCTGCCTCTGCAGATGGGACTGGAGGGGGTGGCCATAGCAAATCTCCTAGCATTTTCTTGCTTTGAATTGTACTTCTTATTTATTCTGTTAGTGC